ACTTAAATAACTTAAATGGACATGTGTTTAACAATGGTCTCTGCAGGGTATTTTGTGGGAAATAGCTGAAGCCTAATTTGCTTCTTTTTCTTGTCTTCTTCCTCTGTCCTTCCTACTATAGTCTATTGAACAGTTTGGATTGGACATTCTTTAAAGCATCCCTTAGTTGCTTGTGTCCCTTAGTTGCTTATCACTGTGGTGCTGTAGACTATCACTTTAACTATGTAAAGGTGTCTTGCATTTGTTTAGGCTGCCTTTGTTTAATCATCTAAAGATGTGTTACTCTTTTACCTTGCCTGCCTAAGGCACCTGATTGATCTAATAGAAAGCCGAATGACCAATAGCGGGGCAGTAGAAGGATAGGCGGGTCAGAGACAATGAGTAGGAGGAGAAATATAGGCTAGAGGAGGATCTGAGAACAAGGGAGAAAGAAAGGGAGATGCCTGGGGCCAACCAGTCACCAGACAGACATGAAGTAGGTCATACAGAATGAAAGAAATATTAAAAAAAAAAAAAAACAGGGACAAAGTGTAGATGAAGAGAAACAGGCTAAATTAAGTTATAAGAGCTAGCAAGAAATAAGTATAAGCCAGGCCAAGCATTCATATCTAATAGTAAATCTCCGTGTCATGATTTGGGAGCTGGTTGGTGGCCCAGAAGAAAGGCTGCTACGTTGTGTTTTTTATTTTAAGGAAGTAGATGTGCCTAAATTACAAACCCATACTCCCGTCTTCTCTCCCAGAATGGCTTGCTTTGTTCTTGCACTCAGAAACAGCCTTTGGGGATTTCTCTGTGGCGGATCAAATGCCACATACTGGCTCTGAGTGATGGTGAAGTCAGTTTTTTCCTTGGTGAAACAATAAGCTCGCATGGGGAGAGGTCAGGAAGTAATGCAGAAATCGAGTGTTGAACAACAACATGTTAACAGTCTGGGAAGTGCATTTTTGTTTGTCTGTTTTGGGTTTTTTGTTTGTTTGTTTTCCTAGAAATAAAATGTAAACATAGAAAAGATGTTCTTTGTTGATGAAGGACCACAGAAGAAGTCATGGGATGTCTTTGAAACAGGATCACAGCATGTGAGATGGGGATTCTTTAAATAGAGTGCCATATTTTAGAGACTACCCAAAGAAAATGTAGGCTTTTCAGGTAAGTGGCAGAAGGTGAAAATAGAGACAAGAGACCAACTTGAGAAAGGATGCTGGTTCAAGAAGGCACACCATGAGGAAACTCAGGGTGAATGCTGTTTTCCTTGTATGAGTACGACATTTCAGGTGGGTCTGTGGGAGACAGCCGCACTGTTAAGTTAATGTCTATGTAATTAGTAATTAAAAATGTATTGCCGGCAGTGGTGTCACACGCCTTTAATCTCATCACTCGAGAGGTAGAGGCAGGTGGATCTCTGTAGGTTTGAGGCCAGCGTGGGTCCACAGAGTGAGTTCTGGGACAATTAGGGCTACACAGAGAAACCTTATCTCAAAAAAACAATATATATCCTTCATGACCTACAGAGAAATAAAAGGAATCGTGATAATTTTTATACAGACCAAGTGTTTACTGTTAGGGCCCTTCCCATGCCTGTACTTTTCCATTGCATTCGTCTTTATACTCACTACAGAGGAGCAAGGGAAGAAGGATTGGAAGTACAACTGCCTCGTTCTCTTTCTTTGTACTTTTGGAAAAAGACTTGTATTGACAAAGATTGAAAAATCAAAATCTTCCTAGAATGTAGACAGAATCCTCATGAGCCATCTTAAGTTATCCAAACTCAACAAAATAACCATCTTTCCCAGTCCATTATGTTTCTACTTTGAAAGGCTCAGTGACTGACCATGGTTGTGCAGGTCTATAATCAACCTTAGGCAGCTAAGGCAAGAGGATTACAACACCCAGACTTGCCTGGGGTGCAGAATGAGCTCAAATGCAGCTTTGGGAAATTTAAAGAAAACTTGCCTCAAAATAGTAGAAAGAGAAGTGGGTAGAGCATGTTCTTGGGGTATATTATTCTTGGGGTTTAATTCCTAAACCACGGGGAGTAGGGAATGAACTCTGCTAACATTATTGAAACCAAGGAAAACCAGAGGCAAAGAGATCTTTGAAAAACCAGTCCAAGCTCTCCTTTGTAAGTAAGGAAACTGAGGTAGAGGGAGCATAAGAGTGTTTGCCACGTCCTGTCATGACAGGAACCAGGTCTCATCATTCCGACTCCTTGTTCATTGGTCTCCAGAATAAGGATGGGCTGAACTTTTATTGTCGTTGAAGCTTCTCCATGCTTATAAACATTTAAAAATAAAAATAGCCTTGATTGGCAAAGCTTCAGTTTAGGATGAAACTGGGGCAGGCTGCTTTCTTGGCAGTGGATGCTATGAGGTTTTGATATTTTGTCTATTTTGTGCTCTCATAGAAATGTTGAAGCACTAGGGTGCTTACATGCAGCTCTTTAATGGGCATTTCATTTTACTGTAGACTGCTCTGGGTGCCCTAAACTGCCAATAATTTTTTTCCTAAATAAATCTCATATTAACTTGAACTCCATGCCTGCTGACACAGAGGACACATTGGGAAGACCTACAACACTTTCAGTGAAGTCTGCCCTCAGGTTCACGCGGGCTCTCCTGGAAGGCCCCGCTGTCACCCTGCTGACAGAAGAGATGTAAGTTTTCGCTGAGACATAAGACAGGAGCTCCTGCCTCCACCATTCCACACCCCGAACTGGTTTCACTTCTATGTCAGCGTCTATGCTAACGTACGATATGCTGTGGAGAAGTCCCAGTATTTGACAATATTTCGATCTCTCTTTTAAACAGTTTTCATCATCAGGACAGTTAGGAGCAAGTAGAGGGGAGAAGGGGAAGGAAACAAACCAGATGAGGACCCGAGCAGTCATTTTCAGTCTGTAAATAATGAGATTTGAAGTACTTAAAGTTTCAGCTTTATTTCTGAGGAAAGATGATTGAAAGATGGGGCTTTGGTGACAAAGCAACCATGACCACCCACCCCCAAAATTAACAGCTTAGACAGGCAACCATTTGATAAGGATGCTGAAGTGTAGCTCCCACAACTGAGGGCTTCTATAGCGTTGTGGGTGGGGAAGCACTAAGTACTTTAAGGGGGTACAACCGGGAGTTTGACCATACTCCAATGTATATATAGGCAACACAAATTGGACTTGTGGTTTCTTCTTCTTCTTCTCCTCCTTTTCTTCTTCTGTTTGGAGAAAGTCACAAGGAGGGGGTAGACCTGGGAGGACTGGGAACTGAGTGTGATTGGGATGCAAGATGTGAAATTCCTAAATAATCAATAAAAAAATTATGTTGAAACAAAAAGCAAGAAGGAAAAGAGCAAAAGAGCAGGTGGGTTGTGGAGATGAAGACATCAACAGCCGCAGGCTAAGCACAGGCTCCTTGGTGCCTCATACATAACCTTGTTTTAATCCTCATATCCCCCCCCCCCGCATTTTAAAGCAGGAAAGTGACTCGGGTTTAGAACCCTCCATGGCATGTATGTATGTGTATGTATGTATGCCTATATATGTGTGTGTAGTATATATTGTTGTATGCTGTTAGCCATGATAGAGCTGAGTCTCAGACTTTTGCCACCATCCTTTAACTGCTAACTTTCCCCTCTGGAAGGCCTGTCCTTGCCCACGTGTTAGGTGAGGAACCAGAGCTCTGAGCGAGTAGGTTGGAGAGAGGAGGGTGAGCAGAAGTTGGTAGACTGAGGTTTGGAAGGGTTGGTTGGTCGGCTGTGGGACAACAGGGGCGTCAACAGTATAGATGCTGATGGAGCCTAAGAGCGGCTAGCAAGTGAGACAGAGAAAAGATTCGTTTCTTGGGCTGAAGACGGGGGTCTGTGGGTGCAGCATGGACTCTTAGAGTGTCTTCTGCTTTGTCTCAGAACAAGGTGAAGGTTAATAAGTTTGTAAGTTTAATGTAAAAAAAAAAAACAATTTATCTTTGGATTGTTCTCATTTATCCTGTTGTATCCGGTTTCTCTATCTGTCAGCTTCTGCAGGATCCTTAAAGCTTCTGCCTTTGACAATCTGGGTTTCCAGGGAATTGGGTGCACCTGAGTATTCCAGGGTCATTACCCAGTGGGCACCAGCAGGCCCTGCCCTTAATCCTGCAGAGTGGAGCATTCTTTTAGGAGAAGGGTCTTGGTTTGCATAGGGCCCCAAACCACTTGATAAATAAGTGATAAGACAAGACTCAGCTTTGGTTTGAGACATGGTGTCACCCTGCAGGAGTCTGTGATTTGGACTAAGCAATTACAGGCGTGAATATGGCGAGAGAATAGCTCTAGTTCTTCAGGTGGGAGCAAGAGAGGAAAGAACCATCAAAGAGACGTGCTCGCCGCAGTAGAGGAGAGACGAGGCTGGGCAGAAGACAAAAAAGGTAGGCAAGGAGAGAGCAAACTGAACAGCATGCAGTATGGGGAGGTTTTATCAGCCACGTGGCTTTGGATGAAAGCATGGGAGTATTTTCAGCCAAGAAGCATAAGGAAAGTCGTTTGATGGAGAAATTGGCCTGAGAAATAGTGCTTGAAATAAGAAGGGAGCCTGTAGTATTCACATAGAGCAGAATCATGAAATCTACAGAGTAGTTGTGACTTCCTGTCATAGGTTTTTCTGTCAAGCATGAATATGGCTCATGACATCCCAAAGCAATGACAACCGTGAGAGCCAAGCTTGCTGGCTACAGATGGCCAGACGGGGTCTAGTAACATGAAAGGAATTTGAAGTAACCAGGAGAATTAGGAAATGAGCATGAACTGTCGGTGAAGTTCACCCACTGACTTGGTCAGAATGGTGTCTACATTCAGTTTTCCATGTAGTGCTGGATAGCCCACAGGATGGCAGTGCTTTCTTAGGTGTTACTGGCTCTCTGTTCACTGAAAACGAACTAGAATATTCTTTCAGTTGCATGGACGGCACACCTGGCCTTCACATAACCGCCTTGACAAAAAAACAAATTAAATGGAAAACATTTCTCTTTCTCTTCCAGTTAAGAAAAAGAAGCCTAAACTTCTGAACAAATTCGATAAAACCATCAAGGCTGAGCTGGATGCTGCAGAAAAGCTCCGGAAAAGGGTGGGTCGCTGTTTTTGTTTTGCACAACAATGTGCAATGGTTTCATCGTTAAAATCTTGGGGATTGTAGATTTTTGGAAAGTGTAATAATAATGGTGACACCAGTACTAAATGGGAAAGAAATCATCTGTGACCTTCCCAGACGCCTTGGCACATGTCTACCGAGTCACGTGGGCAGCACTGCATTCGAGGGCCACAGTGGAAGAGGATGACCGCCAGGACCTCTGACCTGCTATCAGCTCGCCTCCATCGGGTTCTGACTGCATGGAGTCTGTAGGTGCTTGGCCACTGCAGGCTTCAGTTTTCTCATGCATAGAATAAAAATGATATGTATTGGTCCCAAATCCCCTCTTGCTTTTTGTAAAACTCATTATAAGAAAAAAGATATTGCCACTGCCCAATGCCATGTGACTAACAGTCAATTCGGTAGGCCTTAGTGCAGACACAAAAGTCTCAAGTCCAGCACATCTGGCCATGAAATGACACGGGCTTGGTGTTCACCTCACACACAAAGTTCATGGCAGCTGAGCTCTGTTATCAAGTAATGGGAATGTTCCGCTTTATCACTGGATGGTTTAGCTTTTGAAAACAATGAATCCACGTTATATTGATGTCTTTATCTCCTTTAGTGTAGTCATAGCCATGCAATATATTACAATGATAAGATAATCCACAATATACTTATTATATTGTGGTCAGGATGTTTAATTAATTATCTTCCTGTTTTTTTTTTCTTCTTAGAAATGTCTTTTTGAGTGTATTTAAATTCAGAGTCTGTAGTGGTCATTAGTTTTTCTGCTACATGCTTTTCTATTGAGTAGCCATTAGCTGCAAAGAAGTCGGCTATAAAGGCACGCAAGCAAGAAACCCGCTAAGAAAAATCATGCAAGTTAGGAATGGAAGTGGGATAAGCTGGCACTTCTCACCTGTTTATTGGAAGTAGCAGAAAGAGAGAGGCCTCTGTGACCCAGCATTAGCCATGACTCCACAGCTGAGGCTTGGTCCATGCTGAACATCAGCATTTACAAACAGTAGCTCTAGAGAATGCCAGAGAAAGTGGTCCTTCATTGCACCTAGGTTTTTCTCCGATAAAGTGATTTCTGCATCTATCTTGTTTCACTTCATAAAGCAAATCTGTCTATGATTGAGTGTTGTTTGCTTGTTTTTGTTTTGTGTATTTCTGTGGGGTTGTATTTCCAGATCCAAATGAATCAGGGACTCTCTTCCCTCATTCCATGTTTCCTTCAGATTCTCTGCCCTGGATCATGCCTGTAATCATGAGGAGGCTATAGGGAAAGGTGACTTTTGGGTTAAAGCACAAATGAAAACCCTGAAAGCAAGAGTCTTCTGTGGTTGTGATGAACAGTGAACACAGGCTGAGTTACCAAGGAGCTCATAAGTCAGTGGGATTTCCAGTGCTGGCAGGGTGTTCTCCAGCCCTGCTCGTTTGGAGAAATCCTGCTCGTTTGGAGAAATTATGGCATTTTCCTTAAGGGGCACTGTGAGTCTGTAACAGGGCGAATTAAAAAGGAAGGAACAGCAGCCTCGCAATTCACGTCTGCTCACGAGACGTGTTGTGACAAAGCCATCAACATAATTAAGTCTTGTTTATGATTGTTTTTATAGCTAGTATTTCCAAAAGATATGACTCAGTTTACAAGAATAGTTGAGGACTGAGCCAAGGTGCCCCAGACAGCCGGTACAGCCCCGTCCATCCTTCACATCCAAGTTCTACACTGTGGGGAAGCATGTGCTCGCTTTCTGTTATAGCCCAAATTTAGTATGAAATCAGATCACATTTAAATAACCTAAGTTATAAAGCTTTCCAAGTACATTTCTTTATTCATTGATCAGTGTCAATTCACATGTGTGGGTGTACACATGTCCTATATCCACGTGGAGCTCTGAGGCAGCTTCCTGGCATCTCTTCTCTCCTGCTATGTGGATTCCCAGCATCAAATTTGGATTGTCAGGCTTGGTGGCAAGTGCATTGGCCTGCTGAATCATCTTGTTGTCCCTGAATCATTGAATTTCTAAAAATAACATGTTTGTTTAAAAATTTTCTTTATCCACCCCCACAGGGTTTAATATAACCTAATGAAATACATTCATTTTTTAATGGAATTATTTGTTAGAATAGTATATTTTAGTGGAATCATTATTGTAATAGTATTATAAATGATAGCCTTTAAGGAGGTAATGTGTGTACTCTTGTTGTTGGTGGTGGTGGTAGTGGTGGTTTGTTTGGCATTTTTTGGTAGGAGGTGGGGGTAATAAGAAAGATAACAAGCAGGCTGAGAACATGGAAGGTCACAACACAGCCTATAAATCATGCTGCAGATGAAGTCACCTCCACTTCCTTGCAGGCAAAAATGAGAGAAACAGAAGCAGACTAGAATAGTCTAGTCTAGCAGAATAGAATAGAATAGAATAGAATAGAATAGAATAGAATAGAATAGAATAGAATAGAATAGAATAGAGTAGTTCCGCATAGCTGTCTGCATCGAGCCCACAGAGAAGCGCCCTGCTGCCGAGCTGAGTGGATAGTGAAGGGTCTTGATGAGCCCACGATTTCCCACATCACTCCAGGGGATTCTGCAGTTCATCTGCATCGACTGTCAGGATGGCCTTCAGCACTGCCCACTGGCTTCACACCAAAACAGTGTGGGCCATGTACACATCTCTCCAGAGCTGTCTCTACATAAGTAAGCTACATTGAGATCATTTTTAGGAAGTTAATTATTAATACTAAATGCTTTTCAAATCAGAATAAGTTTTGAATACGATGATTCGCTATGAAAGACACACAGCCTGTTGCTTGAGGCAGTCCAAAGGCTAAGTTACCAAAGAGGGATGATACGTTGTGAAATTTGTTATGAATCTTGGTGCTCCTGTGTTTTCAGTCTGTTAGCAGCACATTTAACACAATGGCCGTGAAAGTGGCTTTGACAATTAATGGATACAAAATAAGCTGAAATGGTCCACCAAAAGATAACCCAATGCTAATCCCTGGAATCTGTACAGGCTTCCTCACTTGGAGACAAGGTCCTTCAAATGTAATGGCATTAAGGATCTAGAGGTAGAGAGTCTACTGGATTCTCCATTTGGTCCCTTTGTCTCCTTAAAAGAGGGGACCGTGATACAGACAAGATAGAAGGTGGCACACACAGAGAAGAGACCAGTGTGGCGATAGGAGTGATGGGGCCACCAGCCAAGGAACATGGGAAGAAAGGGGTGGACTTCCCTCTGGAGTCTCTGGAGAGTGTGTGCTCTTGGCATTTCAGCCAAGAAAACGTGATTTTAACATCTACCTGCCCAGCACTGTGAAAGAACAAGTTTCTCTTGTTTTAAGCCACCAGGTTTGACCAGGTGGTATGGCCCCACATCCATAGGAAGTGAAGGCCCACTTCATTGGTAAACTGAAAAGTGACCCGCCCCTCCCGCAAGGATAACCATTTCTTGAGATCCATAAACGTTGCCTTGGAAACAATTTTAAGATGGGTCTTTGTAGGTATGATTTTCATGGATGGTCTGAAAGTCCCTGAATGTGTCGTTTTTAGAAAGGTAAACAGAAATTTGGTCCAGACAGAAGGCAAGACAAACAGATGTAAAAGGAGCAGGTCTGAAGAGGGAAGGGAGTGGAGCCATGCAGCCCCAGGCCAAGGGATGCTGACAGCTTCAGGAGCTAGAGTGGCGTGGACAGATTCTGCCCTGGAGCCTCTCCAACACCTTGATTCCAACACCATGAAACCAGTTCAGCCTTCAGCTCTTCAGCCATGAAATTTGTAGTCATTCATTGTCTCCCCCATAGGACACTGATGGTATTTATTTCTGAAGAACTATAGAGAGGGAGGCGGGAGCTCATCCGTGCCACGGAGGCAGTCTTGTGTTAGGATGAGCCAAACCAACCCCAACTTCCACCAGAGACCAGTACCGTGGTCACGTGGACTGATGGTCTTCTTGTTTCTTCTTCGTCCATTTCAGAGACTTCGAAACTGTGGCGACCTCATTGCCTCCGACAGGCCTGAGGCATCTTACTTGTAACTTAAATGTCTTCATGAAGAAAACCTGTGGGGACTCTGTAGAATGAGAAAAATGTGGTTATCTTCAACAAAATTCTTGTTTCCTCGTTACCAACGCACCTCATTTTAAAAATTAAGATACATTCCTTACAGTTTTAGGTCACAGCTTTGTCTTTTGTAAAGTAGCCGGTTCTGTTTGGCATTCAGAAAGAATTCCAAAAATTTTTCTGACTGAATCATCTGATGACTATTAAATAACAAAACTAAATATCATTATTCCCTGGGGTTATATTCGCACAGGGTAAAATCGAGGAAGCAATGAACGCGTTTGAAGAGCTGGTTCGGAAGTACCCCCAGAGCCCGCGAGCGAGATACGGCAAAGCGCAGGTAGCCTGGCCTTCCTCAGAGCGCTGTCCTGGAGTGCACATGTTCTGCGTAATCAGTTTTCTCTCTTCCACATTTGCTTTCTAATTTCTAGGTTATTTCCCAGATAGATAGATAGACAGACAGACATACAGACAGACAGATAGAGATACACACACACACACAGGGAAAACATGCCATCTTAATTGAGGCTGTTTTCAATACTGCATCTGTCCAATCTAGTACTTCCAAATGACTTGTCTCTGGTTTTGCAAGGAAAATAAAGTGGGGGTCACCTCTGCCACTGGTTCTCTGTCACCCCCACCTCCCTTCCATCTGAGTTTTCTCATGATTTCCACTTCAGGTCTTCGGAACATCTAGGTTCTGTCCTGTTATTCTTCGCAATACATCTGCCTTGGAGAGACCTTTTTAAATGTGACATGGTTGGCATTTTGTTTATTTGCCTTGATTCATTTCTCATCAGTCACCTCCTCCTCATTTCTTTCTCCATAATCTCCTCTTCTGGGTTTTACCATCTTCCAACTCCTGTCCCAAGGCTTGGCCACACTCACCTGTGTCATCACGAGCCCAGCTGTGCTGCTGTTTATTTTGCATTTGTTTAATAGTCAGTCAGCTGTGGCCACAAAAGAGGACGCAAAAATGGCTCGACTTAAAAGAGTTCATTGTGTTCCTGACCTTAAGCTAGGAAACTGGTGCCCTGTGCACCGCCACCATAGAAGACGGCGGGAATGGCAGACAGATTCGGGTTGACGGTGTCACATGATCTTTGGGATTAAAGACGTGTGCCACCACCGCCCAGCTGGCAGTGGGATTCTGCGAGCATACTTATGTAATCTCGGCTGTGGCTGATTTGAGTGAAGGTGACAGAGCAGACGACGCTTTTCTTGGGAGGAAACCGTAGCTGAGATGCATCAGAGTCATGGAAGCAGCTGTCTAGGTAGAGGGAATAGAGAGACACGGGCCATGATTCGTGGCAACTATATTGGTGTCAGAAATCTGAACAGAAAGAGGGGCCTCCTGGGGACAGGAGGCAGACAGGGAGGCCAGCAGCCCCTCACGTCTCTTGTTCTCCATGCCTCAGGAGGCCTTTGGAGGCTATTACTCCTGTAGGTGACCAATGGGTGGCTTTCTGTAAAGATTCCTTTGGTTGCCAGTTGGGAAACGGGTTACGAGAGCACAATCAGATGCACAGAAAGTAGGCGGCTGTCGCGCTTTGGCGTGCGTGAGATGCTAGTGGCTTGGGAGGTGATCTGGCCATGGAGGGCGATAAGGGCAAGCAGAGATTTGAAAGGACTTTGGAAAAAAAGAATTGACCGCTGACTCCTGGTTTGCCGTGAGTAGCTGAGGAGAAGGGAATGCCAGTTCCTGGCCAGGCAGAGCAGCTGTTGAGCTGAAGTTTGCAATTGCTGTGGTTAGTAGAGACTCATGGGGCGCATCAAGGAGACCACAAGATTACGGAATTTGGAAGTCAAGAGTAAAGCCAGAGCTGGTGAAAAATACGTCAAGGAGTAAGCTTCATGGAGGAGAAGGAGCGCTGAAGTCGAGCTTCGGCGGAATACAGGTCCCAAAAAGGAGATATGGAGCCGGTGGGGGAGGAAAGGTTCAGATGCACTGCTGAGGGTTTAGCATCTCTTTCCCTCAACCAAAGAGACTGTTCATATACTATGTTGATTACATAGGTCATTTGGCAAGTATCAGGGCCCTGGATTCCTTTTTACTTCCTTATTAATTGCCCAGGGTGAAAACAACAAAGTACAGAACAGACAGCCTTATCCAAAACATCTTTGGACAGCGACTGTCAAATCAGGAAGTTACAAATTTGTCAGGGTCTGCAAAACATAGGACCTTCTGTTTTTTACTGTCTGTGTCTAGGCTGCCTGCTCGTGTGGTTACTGTATGTTAGGCAGTCTGGAATTATTTTTGCCTTAACCAAGTAGAATCATCTGATGTTTTCTAAAATGCAGGCTTTACAAAATAAGTCATAAAAAGCAATTGACTGGGTGATTACAGCATTTTCATGTCCCTTAGTTTTATAGTAGAGACCTGTTCTTTTTATATGCTCCCAGAAAGGAAGACCCTGGTATAGGGCTTCGTTATAGGGCAATGGGTATGCTTATGACATCTTGTATCCAGAACTGAGCAAGGCATTTCTCATAATCTCCCCCATTGATGCCACAATCCTTGGGGCACAAGGAAGAACCTTCCTTCTGTGACTCTCCTTTCAGGCTGTGACCCCCTGTCTTCAAAGATTCCCTCAGGAACATAAATATATTTCCCCAGGGGCAGTCCTAAGCAGAAAGTCTCCATTATGCACACAAGAGCTCCTAAGCATGCCAGCCACAGATTCTCTTGGTGAAGGGTTGCTGGAACCTCGTCAAGCCGTGTCCTCTGCTTCAGGACTCACGCTGTCCCTTGTGCCCTTACCTGCACCCAAGGAGATGATCTTGGACTGGAAAGCAATGGGTAGAGACCTTCAGATGTTAGTGGTCCAAGAAGTAGCAACCAGTATTCCCTTGTGTGTGACCCTCACAGCTAGGGACGTATCAACAGGAGGACAGAGTGTCTCGCTCTGAACTGAAGGTGAAGGCCACTTGAGAGCCAGCTGTTCAGAGTCTTTCTAGCCTGTTCAAAAGTAATTAATTCAATTTCATTAATTTAATTTACCTAAATCAAATTTGCAAAACAATTAATATAAATAAGTTTCCCATGTTCTTGGTACACACCAGGTATAGTGCATAGCAACTGTGTGGTTTTGGTAAACTAATTGGACCATAATCTTCGAACACTGGGAAGTGACATTGCTATTGAGAGTGGATGTTTATCACCAAAAGATCCAGAATGTTCAGATAAATGATGTGTTTTGCCATTAATACCAAGTCCTTTGATTATGGAAAGTCCATTAACTGGAAGGAAAATGGTTGTTCAAATGTTAATTATGGCAAATTGTTCTGTGCTTTCCAAGTGTTCTCTGTATGTGCTTGTCACGGTGACTGCAGCCTCTGGATGCAGTGCTCCCTCTGTGTGTAGTTTTCCTTCACAGGAGGAACTTGAGATGGGGGCCTCAGGCAGTATTTTTTAATCTCTAAGATATTACGCTACAGATGTTATCAGTGTTAACACTAATGTGGCATAAAACAAAAGTTAAGCATGGCAAATTAAATTTTAATCGAGTCATTTAAAGGAAACTTGGAATTTTTAGGAGTTTTAGAAAATAAAAGTCGACAAATTTTGCAAGAAGGACTAAACTGTGACTTTTCCAATTCCCAGTTAGCAAATTCGGCAATTTCTTTGCAGTATCGCAACAGCTCTTAAAGCGCCAACACCAAGTCAAATATAAACTGTAGTGTCTGTATTTTTAAGTATCACTGATTACATGCTATTCTTGGATCTCTGCAAAAAAAAATCAATTTTGAGCAAGTTCCCGAAACAGTGAATGCAAAAATCTTAAATTATTGACTGAATTCACTTAATCATTAGTGGCTCTGAGGTACAAAGTGACAGGTTCCCTAGGAGGTTTGAGTGAATTAGTCCACCCAAGAATGTGACAGGAATGCCTGTGACTGAAGCTCATTCTTAGCCTGGCTCGGGTGACCCATAGACATAAACTGTTAAAAGACTGAGCGCTCTACACATACCCAGTCTCCAAACAAGTGCTGCTGGTTTCGCTCATCAGCATCCTTAAGAAGTTTATGCTATTTTGGTATTTACACTTGCCTAAAGTGAAGGAGCCAGGGGCTTGAGAAGGGACAAGCACATGGATTGTATGTCTTTCTCTCTTCCCTGTCTGACTTTGATTAGTCTGCAGAGACCTCAGTTCTGCGGGGTGCTTCTGCGGACTCCAGGTAGAGAGGGTTCACTTGGTGGGCTCTGTGGAATTTCCTCAGCTCAGGGACATTGTTTCTGATCTGTCAGCTGTCAGTATTCAGGATCTTGGAAGTTAAGTCGCTATAGCCAAACTCGCAATAAGATGGTGGTTAAGCAGAACAACTGGTTGTGATTAGTCATGGAAGGATATGTGACCAGAATGGACCACTGACGTGGGACTTCCTGTCCTGGAGCTGAATCTGCTGGGCGAGCCTGCTGCAGAGTTGAACAGTTAGCTGAATGGCCTGATGTGCGTTTCCATCAGGCAAGAATGAGTTGTGGTCTGCTTATCTTCACAGTGTTTTTTTCTTAACAGACTTTTTTCCCTTATGAATACACATCTATCTGCAGCTTCCACTTGAGCCCTCTGTCCTAATCAGCGTATGTTAGCACATTACTTTATTGATATGCTGTTTTTTTTTTTTTTAAAAAAAGAACGTTCTCACAGATGTCTTTATCGATTGATGTTGGTTCTCGCAAGTGACTTGCCCTCTGAGCGAGGAGATGCAAGGGTTTTCTTACCAAGTCTTTGGACTTTAAATACTAACCAGCTCACAGCTTATGTTAAAGAGTTCACCCATTCTAATTTTAAAAACACACTACTTTCAGCATCAAATTGCTGTAATTTTTCTTGGATGCTGATCTTCAAATGAAAGTCTGTAAAATCTGATGAGCTACTGAGGTTCATCGTACACGCTCCCCCGTAATTTTTTGAAGTTCATCCCCACCAGCCCTAGGAAGTATCTGGGTCTTACAGTTTTCCTCATCTGTACCTTAGTAGACCTTTTCTCCTATTTTTGAAATAGCAGTTACCTTGGCTTTCTTTTGTTGGTATCATTTGCCAACAAAAGGCCAGTTTTCTCTCTGAAAGGCCTGTCTAAAGGTTAACTGTCGTGAATCTCTGGGGGAAATGACAAGCCTAGAAGTCATGGGTCACTGATCTGTATGGGGCGTCCTCTAGTGTGAAGACGACTTGGCAGAGAAGAGGAGGAGCAATGAGGTCCTGCGCAGGGCCATCGAGACCTACCAGGAGGTGGCCAGCCTGCCCGATGCCCCCACAGACCTGGTGAAGCTGAGCTTGAAGCGACGGTCAGAAAGGCAGCAGTTTCTAGGTGAGAGGCGGAGCGCTGAGTTGGTGAGAGACGGCACAGGGCCACCTTCGGTGGCAAGAACGTGGTGCTTGCTCAAGCCAAAGTGTCAACAAAGAAGCCTAGCTTTACAGCTAGCTTCTGCTGACTTGTCTATCTTAAACAGTAATCATATGCACGTACGGGGGGTGGGGGGGTGGCTCTGTCTGTCTGTGCACACACGTTCATGTGTGCTTGCATAGAAGCAAATGTTTGTGAACATCCAGGTGAGAGGGAAACCTAAGTACCATCCCTCCTTATTTTTTAAGGCTCTTCACAAGCCTGGACTCAATGGCTTGATAGTTCCGAGGACCTGCCTGTCTCTGCCTTCCAAGTTTGGGGATTATAAGCCTGCACCACCATGTGTGGCCTTTTTACTTGGGTTCTGGGTATTACACTCAGGTCTTTGTTCTTGCAAGTCTGGCTAGCTTGCCAGTCTTTGAGCTTTTCTCAAGCAAGCATGCAAGGCTGACAGCTCCTGAGGAAGGATACCTAAAGTTGTCCTCTGGCCTCTATGTGCACACACATGCATACATATAAACATACACAGAAACACTGTGGATTTTTACATTCATTTTGATTTTTTAAAAGAATTCATTAAAATATTTTTAAGTTAGAATTGTGGATTTCTTTGGTTCCCTTTTAACTTTTTTTTTAAAAGGGGGGGTGTCTTTTGAGATAGGATTTCTCTATAGCTTTGGAACCTGTTATGGATCTAGCTCTTGTAGACCAGGCTGACCTTAAACTCACAGAGATCCACCTGTCTCTGCCTCCCGAGTGCTGGAATTAAGGTCATGTAACACCACTGCCTGGTTCCCTCTTAACATTTATGCCAAGACTTTCTCTTGCATCCTAGCCCTAGAGCAAGGTCACGTGTGAAGATGTCTGACCTCTCACAGACATTGTTCAGTGTTTGGTGTGGTCTCTTCTGCTGATGTGCGAATGAGTCAGGGTCACATGAGGAGGCTCGGAGGCAATGAGACAGAGACCCTGGAACTACATGGAGGTGAAATTGCCTCACAGGGAACCAGGACACAGTGGAAGGGACAGTCAGGGGGTTTCTGCAGGAGGTAGTCTGGTCTGCACTATTGTCATCGTTGACAGAGAAATTCCAAGGCCGAAGGAAAGCTGGAGCCGACATGGGCAGGTAGGGAGGCCAGAAATGTACAGAAAAGAAGCCAACTTGTAAGAGAAGGAATGGCTGCTTGGGCAAGCCACCCTGGGGTTCTGATGGGAATAACATTAACCAGCAGTGGGGCACAGACCACGGAATGAATGGGTCAGGTTTTCTGCTAACTGGGGAGCTGCAACCCTGACTGAACCTGCTGCTGTCTTGTGACTAAGTCCCTTTAACAGGCAGTGAATCCCTGTGAGGTGGTTTTCACAAGTGCTGGTCTTCCTTAGCACCTTCTTTTAGTTTCAGTTTCTGTCTCCAGTTGGGACAAAGAGCAGTGACAGTGTGGACCCAGACTGTTTCCCTCTGAAAGCCACAAAGAAAACAGTGCCTGGGATTTCCTGAGCCATGTAGTGCACCATAGCTTGCCGTCCACCAGAGGCTCCCCTAGTACCAGAAGATGTCTCTTTAACTAGATCAGTAAGGGGAGACAAGCGACACGTGTTAGTTAGAGAAGGCTTCCTCGGTGAAGCCCCGTTCCATGTCCCTTAGTGCCTATTTACATCAGTAAAAAAGTACCGACTGCACGGCCCTAAGTCTGACTCTTCGTTATCGACCCTCTATCTACAACTTTTAAATCTAATAAACCAAAATGATTTCAGCAGAACATTTTTCTAAGAAATTAGAAAGCTGACATTTTCTGAAGAAGGAATTTAAGATAAACGTGTAAATGTGGATTGATTCCGACAATAAGCCTGCCTTTTACAATTTAGGGTTGATGCTGTGTTTAGTATCTACATCGAACAATTACATATAGCATTATGACCCTGCTACCCAGGACTTGAGAATCCATTCATAGATGAAGCCAGATGTAAGGTGTTTTTCAGGCTCTGTTAAATCCACTCGCATGGTTTGTGTTCTCAGCACAAAGGAGCACATAATATTTTTGTTCCTGTTCATCATTTTTTTTCAACATCAGGTCACATGCGAGGCTCCCTGCTTACCCTCCAGAGGCTAGTTCAGCTGTTTCCCAGCGATACGGCATTGAAAAATGACCTTGGCGTAGGATACCTCTTGATGGGAGACAATGACAGCGCCAAGAAGGTTTATGAAGAGGTGAGCACTGGTCCGCTGTGGACCGCACCGATTATATGGTCTAGTGAGTGCAAGTGCTGATGGGAAACTCCCTGCCACATGCACTGTGTCTTGTTCTCGTTATGAAGAGGTGAGCACTGGTCCGCTGTGGACCGCACCGATTATCTGGTCCTGTGAGTGCAAGTGCTGATGGGAAATTCCCTGACACATGCACCGGGTCTTGTTCTCGTTATCTGAATGAAATTGCGTGTAAGTTATTATGTCTTAGATATTCTGGACTTGGTTTCCCCATTTCTCTTTCTTTCCTGGACCCAGGATGTCACATCTAGTACAGGCTGGCCTCAAACTCATGGCAATCCTCCTGTCTCAGCCTTCCAACTGCCACCATGCCCATTTTTTCATATTTTGTTTTTCTTTATTGACCTGTCTCCATTGTCCAGAGTGGCAGGTCCCATAAAGATGATTCAGGTATACATATACATTGACCATCTTTATCCTTGTATCTTGATTGGAACAATTTAAATTTTAGTTAACGGTTACTGTAACATTTTTAAAGCTTCATTTTTATCATTCTATAGACAATTTTCTAGGGTTTTTTTTGTGATAGTAACAGAATGAAATTAATAATGAGGTTAATATGTGTAAAATTTATAATCTTTTTAAAGTTTGCAGTATAAGCCTCTCGGGCAAAAATAGTAGATTATACTGTTTTCAGAAGGACATTGGTGTTCACCAATGGCTTTCAGAGGATCTCTACATTGTAGTGGACCTTTTAATAGATAACCTCTAAGTCACAAGCAACTATATAACCCAGAAAACTGGCTCCTTCAGGCAGTGAGGGAATTTATTTGGCACAAAGCAAATAGGATGTCGAATGAACTCTGAAGCGGGAGAAAGCTAAGCTCTGTAAAACAAAGATGGATATGAGCGTTTGTTATTCCTTAACGTGGGCCTCCGGATCAATGGGCTCCATGCCGCTCCCTTTACAGGATATGCTCTACAGTAGGCTGGCTGCGTAGCTCCAGGGGCTCTTGTGTATTGAGAATGATGTCGACGGCAACAGTCTCACCCCCAGGCCAGAGACCGGGTCCACTCTCAGTGTGGTGCTCGCCACTATTGCTGTCCGTGCTTAATTGAAAAATCATTGAATTTTGAAGTTGTTGTCTTTCTACCCTTGTTATCAACTTTATTGTTTTTGAGAAAACAGAACTTTGACCTTTGATGGCTTTCTATGACATCATTGATGCCTGCACAGGTTGACTGAGGCATTGCAAATGTGTGCCTTCCAGAAAAGACCCACATCAGGCCATAAGATAATTCCATGTGACCATGGTGTCTCCTAGCATACCCAGTGTCCCCTGCCCTGCAGAATTTGGGTAAAAGAAACGTCGTGTGTGTTGGTGATTCAGAGCCGTGTGAATGTAAAAACGAACAAACAGCCACAGACGCAGAAATGGAAATACCGTGATCCTTCCTACTTGCTTTCCCCCTCCTTCCCACACTCCCTTCTTCTTCCTTCTTGTAAAATTCTCCCATTTCCCATCCCCCTCTTTTCTTTCCTTCCAGTATCCTCAGCGATTTGCTGCTGCCTGGGTGTCACGCACACACGAGGTCAGGGCAAGCTTCAAGTGCCCCCCGACTGGCCTCTAACTGTGCATGTCTCCTCTCTCACCCTCCAAACCTCTTCCCTGAATGCACTCAGCCCTTCCACCTGACAGCAAGTCTCGGAAATGCGAAGCATTTTCCTTCACCTTGAAAAATAAAATTATGTTGTTTATGCACCTGAGACCACAGTCTCACCTGGCCGGGCGGACTAGGATGCACGAAGCTAGAGATATTGCTGCATCACACAGCTGATTGGTTTTCTTTTAAAAGAGCATTCATCCATTGAAAGTAATGTGCGGATTTCCTTTTCCCTTCCTCTTAGGTCTAAACGAATGAGCTGTGGCTAATGGATACTCCTTCCCTAGCCAAAGTTTAGCCTGGTGTATTTATCTTTTCTCCCAGGTTCCTTCCAGAAACTGTTACTAGGGCTGCATTTTTTGTGCACATTGATTTTTGAGTACATTTAGGAAAACCACTGTGAGAGTCTAATTTTGGTTTTTCCAGGTTTTGTTCTCGGCATAGAGACCGGCTTTACAGAGATTTGGTAGGAACCACTCGCAGCTGCAGCTTTTGGAGACTCCTCCCCCATCTCTGTTCTAAGGGAGTGGTGCTGCCACCAGTTCGGGATCCCAACCCAGCATCATTGCCAGTTCTTTGCTGCCCCACACACCCTGAGTGAATCCATCGCTCAGCCAACCCGCACACACACCAGTTCAGTACCTGATATTGAAGCAATTCAGAATGTGTCTTCATGGGGTTTCCAGTCTGGGGCCAAGCCACCACTTGTCACATTGTCTTCACCCGCCCAATGCATTCACCAGACACTGGCCACCTCTTGCTTGAACTGGCTCTAATTCTTCTGCAGGGTTGCTGTTTTTTGACCTTCATCTACCCCAAGCACCACTGACTGTAGCTCTCAGCTCCAACTATGCTGGGCCTCTTATAGAAATGTTCTTGAAATATCATTTACTGTGTACCCTTTCAGATCAAAGAGTTCAACCAAATGTTTGGAGTGGTTTATAGATCTAAGTACTGTCTATCTATACAGTGCATACTTTATAAAAAGTACATGCCATCCAAATGAGATTGAAAGCTCAAATGAAATATTTAGAGTGCTTTCCAAATTTTATTGAACTGAAAAAAATCCTTTCACCCTCACTAAAGTGTTAATATTTCAGTATCACCACCGCAAAGTGCTACTCATGGTTTGAAATTATCCATGGATCTACTGCACCCACGATGTTTTCATTCTAAGTATCCATCCCGCAGTGGATGCCTAAATGTGACGATAGCGTGTATGCTATCCCGCAGTGGTACCTTGAGCCATTGTGAAGGGCAATGAGAATTACTGGAACAGAAGCACTGCAGTACTTGTAGCAGTCAGTTTGGTGATGGAGATCAACACTGAATAACGGACGGTCAGGAAGCATATACGGTATGGATATGCTGATTCACATCCCAGGCAAGATAGAGCATAATTTAACATTTTCTTATGCGACTCCCACTGATACACAATTTAAAACATGGATCCTTTAGTCCTGGAGTTTTCCATTTAGTATTTTTGGGTCATAATTCACTGTGGAAAATGAAGTCTTGGATAAAGGAAAATAGGTGGTGCTTTAAAAGTTCATTGCAATGAGTTGTTACTGTGGGTAAAAATGTAGATAGATAGGTAGGTAGGTAGGTAGGTAGGTAGGTAGATAGATAGATAGATAGATAGATAGATAGATAGATGGATAGATGGGTAGATAGATGGATAGATAGAGATAGATAGATAAACAGATGAATGGATAAACAGGTAGAGATAGATAGGTGGAAAGATGGATGGATGATATATTAGATAGACAGATAGATAGATAGATAGATAGATAATTTTCAGACATATAATAAATGGATACAAAGACTCTCAGTCTTCTTACGATTTTACTCTATTTTAGTCTATTTTATTCTCAGTCTGGATTTTCTGTGTCTTTGCCTATGATTTTATTAAACTGGGAGAGTCACTGTACATCAGCTACAAAGTGCAAATGTGTAGTGTCTACATGTAAAGAAACAAGTGCTGTCAGCCACTCTGACACCTACTTCTGCCCACCCTCCTGATTCTGTGTGTACCAGGTAAGATGCCTGACTGTCCATTTGCAAATGAACGGAGAGCTGTGGGCCTGCGGACCATTAACTGTACTTCAGAGCAAAAATATTTGCCATTTCTTCTCCATAGTACAAATATCTAATTGATCTTAATAATAAAAACCCAGAATTAGATATCGGGGTAGATGCTGAAAGATCGGAGAGGTAAAAGAGCCGGCCACTAGGGAGATTTCTTACCCCTCCTGAATCCTCAAAGTGAATGGAGCGCCAGATCCTATCTCCACCTGCTTTATATTCCTGTCTTCACTTCCCTAGTGTTGGGATTAAAGGGCTGGGATCAAAGGGGGAGCCATCACCACCCGGCACGGTTTCTCTTTTCAACTCATTCGATTCCACACAGCCCAGAGTGGCCTTGAACTTCTGATCTTCCTGCTTTCTCCTCCTGTGTGCTGAAATTAAAGGTGTGTGCCACCACTGGCTGGCCTCTATGGTTAACTAGTGGTTAGCTCTGCCCTCTGATCTCTAGGCAAGCTTTATTTGTCAGAACACAAACAAAATATCATCCAACACTTCTCCCTGGGGAATTAGTTTTCTTGTGTCCCTAAACAGAATGTTCTGTGATTCAACATGACCCTGTCCTTTCCTCCAGTTTCTTTGCCTGTTGTGTTGTTTGTATTTCATACCATTCCCTTTTCCTGTGTGTGTGTGCACACATGTGTGTGCGTGTCTGCACGTGCACGTGTGGAGGCTGGAAGAGGGCATCACATCCCTCACAGCTGGAGTCACGCTCCCAAGAATTTATCTTCATTCACAATTTTTAAGCCTGCTATTGTGAAATCATCTCCCACTGCCTAAAAGTCGCACAGGTAAAACACAGGTCCTCAACCATTCTGGACGCCGGTACCTCACTAGGCTAACACACAGGTTCCCAGCACTTAAGGCTCTCTCCAGTGTGGGTCCCACAAGGCTCGGTGTCCTCTCGTCTGCTGCTATGCTAAGCCTGTCACAGTTGCTCAGGTATTTTCCACTCCCACACCTATGAAAAATGCAGGCAGTGGTTTGGTTACAGCTGTCAGATATTCCATATTCCATCGTCTTCAATTTGACTATACTTTCGGTGCAGGGATGTGCGTCTGCGGTGATGCGGGATCTTACTACAGCAGGTGTCCTTTCCAAGGTCAAGGCAAGGCCCCTGCAATGCCACCTGAGTTGCCTTTATGAACACCATGCATCCGCAGCCATTCACTCAAGGTTCTTTTCACGTCACACTCTGCCACTAACTTCAGTGACCCCTGATGGATATTTTCGTGATGAATGGGTCCTAAGATGATAGGCTGAGGCATGTATAGGAAGCAATGTGCAATTGCCCTCCAGGTTCTCTTTAAGCCCAAAAATTCAGTGATTTTCTCTATTCATTGGAAAAACTTTGACGTCATCAATCGGCAGGCGTTTTTCTGATTGCAGAGTTAAAACCACGCTCCAGCAGTTACCACCTTCTCCTTTGCCACTGTATTCAGGGAGTAATTGCGAAAAGCATTTTGCATTGAGAACAATGAGTTTGTCTTGTTTAATGATAGCAGTGAGACAAAGCGCTACCACCGGGTGTTTGAAGCTGTAACATCATCACCCGTTCCGAGTCCAGCGAAACTAATTAGGGTTTGTTTGGATGCTCACTTGTACAGTTTCTCCTCTGATACAGCAGCTCTTTGCTTTCTTTGACTTCAGGTTCTGAACGTGACACCCAATGATGGCTTTGCTAAAGTGCACTACGGCTTCATCCTGAAGGCACAGAACAAGATAGCGGAGAGTATTCCCTACTTAAAGGTACCTGCCGTGGTCTCCTGGCTGCTCACTGCATGAACTCATTTGAGGCCCCCCATTGGTTAAGGCATCTAATTGATTGACATGGATGGTGGAGGCTTCCTGGTATCGGAGTGCATGCTTCATGGGCAGTAGGGACCTATACCCTGACTGAATGTCGGGAAGAGTCATCCACCACATAAGTAATAGACATCTACACCCTGCCTGAATGTTAGGAAGAAACATCCACAACGAGATGTGCTTTGTTTGACGTCACTGTCGCCAAAATTCCCAACAGAATCCATTTAAGTGTTCTTTAGGCTCTTAGATTCTGGAAGTTGCTCTGGGTCATCACAAGGATGGCATGGCAGAGCTTGTGGTGGCAGAAAGGGTGAGAGTAGCTTGTTCATGTTGTAGCCTCTGACCACTAATCAAAGCGCAGGAGTGGCAGGTAGGAGCCGAATGACCTCCAAAGCCTACCCCTGGTAACCTGCTCCTCAAGCAAGGTTTTGCAAGCCTCTGAAACAATGCTCCATGCTGGAGGCCAAAGCACAGGGACCCGCAGGAGAGGATCCTGACTTCACCACTAACAACATGAGCAGACACTGTGTGGAAAAGACCTTAGGAAGAAATTCCTAATACCAAAGTCATTATACCGTAGTTTTCATTTTAATTAACATTCACAATTTTCTCCAGCAACAGATTTCATTATGATTTTTACATGTGACATAGCACACATTGGCCATCCATTCCTCCGTAGCATAATTTTGACATGCTGTGTAAACAGAAGTAGACAGAATTCGTTGCTAGTCTCTTAAAATATAGACAGTGTGCGAAGGGCTTTCTTCACAAGTTAAGGAAGGGTCTGCTCTACCGGGCTCCAGCTGCCTCCATAGCAGGTAGACTAGATAGGGTTGAAAGCCAAACTTGGCTAATGGCTCAAAATCCTAAAATATAATCGTTGCTTTTTCTACCATATTAAACTGAGGCTTGGACGATTTACCAAAATCACACTTGGTCTTGGTCAGGGCTGTCGGATAAAATCCTTGCTGTACGAGAAATACCACTTGTGTGTGGTACTCATCCCTGCCACAGTCCACCATTGGACATCGCAGATGTGGCTACCGCGACCGAGGAAGAGAATTCAAACCTGTTTCATTTGCTTTTGTTTGGGTAGCAGCAATGTGGAGGCTAAGAGTAAGCGCTGCTATGGAGAAGCGCTGCAGTTTACAGGAGCTCCTGAGCACTCCCCACCCCCATTACAGGAGCGGGATGGCTGGCCTCAGTGGCTACGTCAAACGGTTCTCATTGCTGCAACTGTTGCCGATCTTGAGAATTCCCACGTTGTGTGCAGTCAGACAGACGTCTAGCTTCCTCTCTGCTCCACAACCCTGGGGCATAGAGCTGGGCAGGGGTCCCCACTAGTTGGCATGTATTCTTATCTGTCCTGGCTATCTTCGGACAGCATAGATCTTTTCGTTCTTCCCAGTGCCATGTGGTCTGATTTAAGGTGCCCTCCTGTCTCCTTCCCCTCTGGAGGCCTGATAGTGTTCTCCCAGCTACGTAGGTGGGAACACAAGAGCTGGGGCAGGTATTCAACAAACAAGGGTGCTCCATGCCAGGAGTCAGTTGTGTTAGATGCTATTTTCCAACATTGTGCAGATAACATTTCTTCTGGGAGAAGATAATGACCTTTAAAATATGTGTATGTAGTTTTATTATTATTTTTTTAAGCATGGGCAGGTGGAGCAGGTGCATCCACAGCACACAGCATGTACACGGAGGAAAGAAGACACCTTAAAGGAACTGGCTTTCTCCTTGCAACGTGTGGCCACTGGAACTGAAGCTCAGGCCATTAGACTTGGCAGCAAGGCCCCTCACCACTGAGCCTTATGTGAGGAGACCTCAAAGACACAAATTTTCAGAAAAGAAGTCCTTGCTATTAGCCTGTTTCAGACTTTTGTTGATTTATTTTTTTTGCTTCTCCTTACTCATTCTCTTAGAATTTTCTCTTCATTTTTTTAAAACAAAAGTCTCCATCCCAGTGCTTGTGTGAAAAGTGGGAAGAGATAGCAAAACATTCCACAATAGAAACCATTCCTTAAAAAAATGGCATGTGTCAAAATTCCTGTTGGCTTGAATCCTGTAAATTTTATAAGAAGTTTCATTAACTGCTCGTGACACATTTGTCTGGGGCGGGAAGAAATACGACGTACACTCTGACTGTCGTCACTCGAAACTGGAACAATGAAGTGTCTGGGTTCGGGGATGGAGACTCTAGGTGGCGTGAGGTCAGACTTGTAGACAGAAACAAATGGGAAAATCCACTGGCAGGGAAGCCATCTGCAATAGTGAACTATGATTGTTCCCATGGCAAAAGCACACAAGCACGTGCTAATGCATGGACCATCCATTCTTAGTCAATGATAGCACACAAGCGTGTGCTAATGTATGGACCATCCATTCTTAGTCAATGATAGCACACAAGCATGTGCTAATGCGTGGACCACTCCACTCTCAGTCAATGATAGCTGCATTGTGAGATTTCCATTGCTAGTCTCATTTCCACACCGTGAAATGTGGACCAACCTCACAGTCGGGATTTAATAATGAGATATAATTTTCCAGATCTTAGGTTTCCCTAGGAGATCTTGTAGTTCATACCTGAGGAAAATCTCCACAAAACAAGGCGTGAGACCTCAGATGTCACTGTTCACAGATGGTAATACTGTCTTTTTCCAGGAAGGAATTGAATCTGGAGATCCTGGCACGGACGATGGCCGGTTTTATTTCCACTTGGGGGACGCCATGCAGAGGGTCGGGGACAAAGAGGTACTGCTGACTGGGTTCGTGATTTTATTTCAGTAGATAATGGAGTGAGGAGGGGCACTTCTAGCAACAAATCAGAGCTTTACTAACATTTTTAGCAGAAATGATTATAGCGGAATTCTTATAGGGTCTTCGGGATTTGGAATTTACAGTTTGTTTATTTCCCAAGGTATCAAATATGTAATCTGAAAAGTTCCTCTTTTGGTGTGTGTGATATGAGTCAGGGTGTGTGTGTGAGAGAGGGTGTATCTGTGTGTGTAGGAACAGGTTAAGTGCTGTCTTGGAAAAATACCTTTAAAATTAAGACATATAGAGGTCTCTAAAAGTATTCTAATTTTTAAAACCATTTATGGAGATTAATTTTTGTTTTATTTTGTACTTTCTGCAGTAGTTATTTTAAAACTGTTTGACTCCCCCCCTAAGCACTGTGGTCTTCATGATTAGCTATGTAATTGTCATATTAAATTTAAGCTGAACATTTGCAGCTAGGATAAGGGCAGGTACCAACACACACACACACACACACACACACACATTGTCACTAGCCCTAGTGGCACATTATCTTTGTGATTACTTTTTTCCTGAGTACAGTTGTCAGCTTGTATGAACATGGCGTTTAGCCGTGTCCCTCTCCACCGTGACTTCCGTGCTCTCCCCTCCTGTACTGTGGGAACTTTACCTCTGCTGTCTCCAGAGTCCGAAGAGAAAAGGACAAATGAGAGAGTGGCTCTGTGTGACCATTGTCTTCCCTGTGTGACATGTAAGGACAGCACAGCTTCAGAATTTTAAATTTAATAAGAATACAAGACCCTCTGGGCGGCTGAAAGCTCAGAAGCAAGGCTGGCTATGGCTGTGCTGTCTCCTGCAAGAGACACGAGTCAATTCAGAGCAGTAGAGGCTGGGATGATTGGCGATATCTCCTGCCTCCGTTTCTCCCCCTTTAACCTGCCAACCGTTCCACTGAAATAGACTAAGACGCTAGAAGTGAAGAGAAAGATGGGGAAAGACGTCGCTGATGGGTCGTCATTATTTTGTTCCTTTGTGGTTTTTGATGTAAGAAAAAGTACCCTCCTTTGAATGAGAAGGCTAAGAAAATATCTGCCACAGTACCCAACACTGGGTAAAAAGTCGTGGTCAACTACTGTAAATATAATTGTCACTAATTAATTTCTCTTTGAACATTTTGTGGTACAGGGCAAAGACAGATAAATCTACTATTATCCCCCTATCTTAGATGAAAACAGCTCTTACTTCAAGGACAATGAATTCACTACTGAACACTTGTCAGGAGCCTGGTATTTAAGCCTAAGGGACTGTTCTGCCAGTGTAATTATCATTAATATCCAAAGAACAGCCCAGTTCCTGGATTTGGAAAGTTCACAGGATTCATGCTTCCAGGGAGCAGAAACAAGTCCATAGCAGCCCTGTGTTAGTGTGGCCCCATAGTAGGCGTGGAGTCCTGGGTCAGAGCTCACCTAAGCTTTCATCCACGGAGCCCCATCCCAACTGAAGGAATGGACACATGAGAGGCCTACAGCCTCTGCTGCAGCCGCTGGTGAGGACATGGATGTGAATGAGCGTTTTTGTTAGTGTGGAGGAGAAAGAGAAGACAAACCATGGCAGCCCGGCAACAGTCATACCGCAGAGGCTCCCTACCTTCTATCCATGTTCTGTCTTCGTATCTAGTCTCATTCTCCGGGAGCAAATTCGCCTTCTCCTGCCAGTTTGAGGGCACTTCCTGGAGATGACACAACAAGCTCCCTCTCTCCTCCGAGCTGTTTTCCTCCTAAATTCTGTCTCTGGTTCCTTTATGGCCAACTTCTTAATCAAAATTGAGGTCAGCCTTGGCTCCTCCCTCTTTTCATCCCTTCCTGAGGGCCACTTCTGAGGAACAGGCTTCCTGGGCTCTTTGGTAGCCCTGCTTCGTTCAAGGGGTGAGAATTCTAGTCTCCCATCAGCCCACCTTGGTGATGATTGTCACAATCTGACTGTCACTTCTTATATTAGTTTCGTTTTCCGCATGGCCACATTAGCCTCAAAATATCTGGGATTCAAAATAGAACAAAGCCCTATTTCCATGCAATGTCATTTACAGATCCACGCAGGCAAATTGCAACCCAGTGTTCTCACCCAAACCTTGTCTCCCATTCTTAGTGCAGATGCTCCAGACAGACCAGCTCAAGCCAGACCACTCAGGGTAGATCCCTGGCACAGATTTCTGAAGGGGAATCTTTTACTCTGTGTGTGTGTGCACAGGGGGGTGCGCGTGCATGCCTGCCTGCCTGTCTGCCTGTCTATCTGTCTGTGTGAAGAACACATAGAAATAACTTGACAAAAATAGGAACAGCATTGATGTACACTGCATTTAAGAAGGTTAGCCTAAGGCTGGGGTATAGCTCATTTCCTAAACTGATAGCCTCCTGTTTCGGTCCCCAGCACCACATGAAGTGGGTGGTGATGCTTCCTATAATACCAGAACTCAGGAAGTAGAAGCAGGAAGATCAGAAATTCAATGTCATGTTTAGCTACACAGCAAGTCTGAGATCCACCTGGGCTGTGTGGCCCTGTTTGAAAAAGAACAAGAAAGCAAAAACAAAAACCAAGCAAAGTAGCTGAGAAAAGCTGGGGAATGCTTGCTGTCAATCTTACAGTTCTCTATTATGTTATGAAACTTTATCTTTATTATGTTATAAACAAGGACAAAAGTAGAGGTCATTTACATAGGTTTCTTACTTGACTGAATTTTCTACGAATTTTTGTGGTTTGTATTTTTTTTTTAATCTAGCCTAATTTGTTGAGTCCATTCTGTCATGGATCAGTAGAAGCAATTTTTAAATTGCTGCTATATCATTGGCTTTCATTTCTGATAAAGGGGAAATGCTATCAGAATGCAGATTCAAGGCTCTTGTTCAGTGTGTAGCAGATGCTGTGAGCATTAGAACAGGTCACATGGTAGTGTGAACAGGACCTTTTAGAGCTGCATTAGCCCAGGCATCCAGCACAGTGTAGCCTCGAGCCTAAGACCCTGAAGGTTGCAGTGTGAGCCACACTGCCTGCTGCCTGGGTTGTCCTATAAGTACTTCTTTTCTGAATGAAACCATCAGTATGCCTTCAAATGATTTACTGATGATTGAAAAATTAATGAACTACCAGATTTTTTAAGTCCTATGTTTTAATTAATAGTTTTTAATTCAACAGCAGAAGGCTTAGGAAATAAAATCCTAAATTCAAATTGGCTGAAACACTAATGATCAAATTAATTTCAAAGATGAGTGCTAGAGCGCTATTTTCTGTCGTTTCTTTCTTTCTTTTCTTTTCTTTTTTGCTTGACATCAGTTAGCCATTTTAACTTTCTGACCTTTAAAGAACTCTGGGCCCAAGTTACATGTGTCTCAGGGACAATGTATAAGAAGTATTGGCATATGTACTCCTTGAGATTTAATGAGAAAGATAATTAAATAATATTCTTTTTGATAGTTTAAAAAAGTGATACAAGGAAAGAGTATGTTTAACTTGCGAGAAAACTTGTCTTCCGGTTTCAAGAACTGAGCCATTATAACCCTCAGCTGCAGCATTTGTAAGATGGAGACGTTGGGGGCTGTTAGAAGGACCTGGTGAGGTCACGTGTATAAAAGGCAAATACTGGAGTGTTGTAGGACACGGGAGAGCCGTCGAGCCCTCCCTGTACAGTGCTAAGCAAGAAAGTCCCGGAACATGATTATTAAACACTTTCAAAAGTTAATAGTTTTATACACTAAAATATGATTTTGTTTACTTTTAATTTTTTCATATAATGAAATCAAAAAGAAGCAAAGAGTTTTAAAGTTTAAATTGTTATATCTAGAGTTTTGCAAAGAAGGCATTTAAGTTGACATTAAATACTTCTTTTTATTGATCAAAGCTTGTATATTTAGCCAGGTATGAGGATCCCACATGTCTATAATCTCAGCATTCAGGAAGCTAAGGCAGGAGGATTCCAGGTTTGAGGCTACCTTGGCCTATGTGAAGAGACACTGTATATGAGATAGGAGGGAGGGGTTACACATTTTTTAAAAATCAGTTCTCAAAAGAGCAGTCCTTAGACCAGACATAGAAATGGCAGAGATGCTATTCAGTGTGCCCTACAAACTCCTCTCTAACGACAATGGACACGTGAAGCAGGCAGCCTGGAGGAGGGCCACTTGAGGCCATATGGCAGGGCCTCATTTGGACCAGCCATGTGGAGCAAGTACTCTGTTGCCAGCTGTCCCTGAAAAAGCAAGTCTTAGATGCCAGTAGTATCACAAGTGCCAACCTGAAGCCATGAGAGCTATCCCCTATTGCAGAAAATGCAGTACACTATGAAGAAGAGTTTCCTATTAGAATGTCTGATATGGGCTACCATACAAGTTATTGCCAACTCAGAATAATATTTCCTTTTTCTCTATTCTGTCAGCACAGGACAGCAAAGAAAGTTACTATGAAAAAGAATTACTTTTGATTTCAGTAGTCCAATCCAGTAACTCACAAATGTATCTGAAATGGTCTAAATCATAATCCACCCCCTTTTAAAGAAAATATAAAAATAGAACTTACAAAATGAAAGCTAAATGCAAACATGCCCTCCTTTGGCATCTTAAGTTATGTGTCTACTCAACAAATTAGTTCCAAGCTGGCTTAGATCTGTGGAAGCCAGAATAGGTGGGGGCATGGATCCAGATCTGCAGAGCTGACAGCCTGAGAGTGGAAATTAAGTGTCAGGTTCCCTTATCCGAACAGCTCATAGAAGCTCAGCTAAGCCACAGAATTCTCACCGATCTCAGCAGGTTAGATCTCTATTTAATCATCTCAAAGTACAGATAGTCCCCGAATTCAGTTTTGTTGGGTGTGAAATCAGTCTGCATTCAGTAGAAACCATACTTCAAATTTGGCTTTTGAGCTCTTCCCAGGGCAGTAATATATAGCACCATATTGTCTGTAATGCCGAACAGTGGCGGTGAGCTATGGCTGTCAGTCATACATAATGGGTTGGACCAAGGGGCCATCTGCAGGAGCTTTAATCCTAAGGCTGAGCTGTGCGTTAGAGGGAAGTAGGTTTCCACTGTAGAATACTTACCATGTGTCTGCAACATGGCCCCACCACAGTGCAAGGAGCCTCTGTTACTTCCTTTCATTTTGTAACAATGTTTCCTCCAAAGGAGCAGTGTGAAGCAGCCTTTCTGTCCTTTCAGGCCTATAAGTGGTATGAGCTTGGGCACAAGAGAGGACATTTCGCCTCCGTGTGGCAGCGGTCCCTCTACAATGTGAATGGCCTAAAGGCTCAGCCGTGGTGGACACCCAGAGAGACTGGCTACACGGAACTGGTGAAGGTGAGTGTCAGCTTCCAGAGCAGCCCAAACAACCTACTTCTTGTCGAAAGCACAGGGTGTGGAAGGAATGTTGCGGCAAAAGGTATTTTCTTTCTTTCCTTTGTTTTGTTTTCTTTGTTTTTCAAGACAGGGTTTCTCTGCTTAACAGTGCTGGTTGCCCCAGAATTTGCTTTATAGACCAGGCTGGCCTTGAACTCACAGAGATCCACCTGCCCCTACCTCCCTAGCGCTGGGATTAAAGGCATGCACAACCATTCCTTTATTTTATTTTATTGATGATATTTTATTTCTAGTAAGGAATCCTCTTCTACCTGAAGCTTCACAAGCCAGGCCTCCATCTTCTGTACCTCTCAGCATTTCTATCTTTTAAAAACCCAGTGCCACCTCCGTAAACTCTGAACACACGCGAACCTTTCCTAACCCAAAGTTTAGAAATCTTTTCCCAGTTTTTCCCAAAGCACCACTGACGGCTTCATCACAGCAATACCCCAGGTCCTTGGTACCGACTTCTGTCCTAGTCGGCTCTCTGCTGTGGAGAAACACCTACCAAAACCAGCCCGGGAGGGAAGGGTTGCTTGAGCGCATAGGTTACAGCCCGTCATCCTGGGAAGCCAGGACAGGAGCGCAAGCAGGAACCGAGAGGTAGAAATGAAGCAGAGACCACGGAGGAGCGCTGCTAATTGGGTTGGGTTGCTCAGCATGGTCTGCCCAACCTACTTTATTATACATCCCAGGACTACCTGCCCAGGGGTGGGTGGCACTGCCCACAGTGGTCTGGATCATCCTCCATAAATCATTAATAATTAACTATAAAATAAATGCTCCCACTGTATGTCCAAGGGCCAGTCTGATGAAGGCAATGCTTCCATTAGGGACCCCACTTTCCAGGTGACTTTAACAACTAAATAGCTATAAAACATGGAAATGTTTTACATCAGTAGATTAAATCTAAACTTAAAGTTTACGTCGTGTGATTTTTGGTAGAGATTCGTGAGCTTATGTTTGTTTTAGGTTAAATGCATTCACAGGCACATTAAGAAGATGGGACTCAGTATTGATTTACAAACAGTCTCTACATACTGTTTTATTTTTCAACTGGGGAAAAAATGTATGTTATTGGTCAGATGGGCTGCCATGTTTCGTCCTCTTCAGTTTGTAGAAGATGATATTTTTTGGTTTTCCCATAACGAATGATCTTCTGTGTGAGGACAAGAGTGAGAAACAGCGCCAGGTGTAGATAGAGCCCGGATGTTGGACTTGGCAAAACTCCAAGTACTTTCTGTCTTCCCTTTACCTGTATAGTTGGAATTAATCACATTTTTGGATGAGGAACACGTGGAGTACAAGATCCTTAAGATTTACTAGACTTTAATGATGAATTTGTTCTGGGAGGAAGAGGAGCAATATGCTTTCACTGTGCTAATGAAACAGGCCTTGTTTGTTCTTATTCATATCAGCGCATGCGTATGGCATGCACATGCGTGGCGATCATAACATCAGCTCTACACTGCTCAGGCTCTAGGGCTTAGTAGATCAGAAAACAGTCTGGCAGTGATGTTTGCAGACTCTTTTAAGAGGCCCACATCCGAGCAGAATGAGTACAAGAACGCCTTGACAAATCTACAGCTCTTAGTGTGGTCCTTCGTGTGATTTTTCTTCCTAAGAGTCCATCTCTTCTCAGACCCACACTGGGCTCTGCTGGTTCTCCTGCTTCATCCACATTTCCTGGACTCTGTGGAAGCTGGGTTACCTGCTGTCGCTTTCAGAATGCTTCCAAATCCAAGCAATAGAAACGAAACCCAAAAATTGCTTCAGCAGCAGGGAGCCTGATTGATTCTTAGTCTGATCTTGGAAGTCTGATCTCCAAATAGATTTGATAGGTGGTCAGTCAGTCAGAAATAAGGTTTCTTGGCCTTACACTTCCTCCTTAGTGAGCTCTGTCAACGCTGTGTGATAGCCACCAGCAGCACTAGGACCGGAGCTGGAAAGGGTTAAAAGGCCATTGGGCCACCACACAAACACTAGAGACTTCCAGGCAGACCCTTTCCTATTGGTAAGCATGTATCAGAAGGGTTACAAGGAGTTACAAGGAGCCTGAGACACTAGGTAGCTGCCTACAGGCTTCCAGGAAAGAGGGTAGGCCCCCACCAAGGCAGAACAGTGGCTGATCTTGTTTCTCTGGACTGCATGACTTCCCTGGGGGTGTAGAAGCAGGTGGTGTTGGGAAAGCAGCCTACACTGTTTGGTGTCCTTGCTGTCACTGGACATGCCTAGATTTCTTTCTATGTTTCTTTTTTCTTTCTTTCATGTTTGTCATTAATTTTTAAAGCTACCTTCATTTGTTTGGTTTATCTGCTATGAAAATGTTGACTAAAGTTTTATTACCCAGACTTCTGACTTTTCGGTCCATATCCAACTACATTAAAACATTCACTGTGAAAATTTGCATACCAGGTAACCTCCTGGTTCCTATGTCTTTCTAAGGATGGTTTTGGTCAGCGTCTTTGTCCATTTTGAAAGTGATAAAAAAATCCCACAAACAGAATGTCTTAGCAACAACACAGTTTTAGTTTTCAAGACTTTTTATTTCTGGGACATCTAAGATGGCAGTAGCAGTAGACAGCATCTTGGAAGAGCTTGCTTCTGGTTCATAGGTGGTGCTTCTTTACTGGGTCTACATACACGGGCAGAGAAAAGGCAGCCTTCTGTCAGAACTGTACTACAACTTAGGGTGGAGTAAAACAAATTAGATTTTTGTTTGTTTTTTGTTGTTGTTTTGGTTTTCCAAGACAAGGTTTTTCTCTGTAACAATCCTAAGAGTCCTGGAACTAGCTCCTTAGACCAGTCTGGCCTTGAACTCACAGAGATCCACCAGCCTCTGCCTCCCGAGTGCTGGGATTAAAGGTGTGCACCAACACCGCCCAGCCTAAACTAGATTATTTTAAATAAGGTTTTAACATCTACTAAGCTAGTAAAAAAGTAAGAAAAAAGATAAAAAAAGGCATTAACGAGTATTGAAACGGAAACATTGAACGGTTCAGATAGGTGTTGGAAATTGTACGACTTTGGAAAACAGTGCTAGCTCGTAAAATAGTTAGACACAGAATGAGTGCATAAACCAGCAATTTCTGCAAAACCAGCGTCCTTCAAAGTACAAGCAACTAGGCAATGTGGTAACCAGTTTATATACACTGCAGCAGTTACAAGTCATGAAGTCCTGATGCCTACTGCAACATGGATGGACCTAAAAAGTCATGCCAAGTGAAAGAGGCTAAACACAAGAAGAGTGTGTTATAGAATTGTATTCATATAATTGTATTCATATGAACTGGCCTCACTAGACAAATCAGCAGGCACAGAAAATAGTGTTTTCCAAGGTCTGCAAGGCTGGGAGAATGAGGATTGAGCGGCCTCTATTGAGAAGCACTTACTTTTCGAACTGAAGATCAAAGAGTTGATGATTCCTCAACTCAGCATCTACTAAACCCCGCTGAATGACAAAAGTCAACTGAGTGCATTGTATGGGATGTGAAGGACAGCTGAATAATCTGTTCAAAATAAACAGCATATGATAAAGACAAGGTAAGCAGGTATCTGCAGAATGATGACGTGTCATCATCGTCAGAGCAAATGGCGCAGTAGTTCAGAGCGTGCACTCCACAACCACACTGCCTGCTTGGGTGTTCTGAGTCATGGTCCTAGCTGTGTGACATTGCCTATCTTCTGTATTTCAGTTTCGTTATCTGCAAAGCACGCCTGGTGTTGGCTCGAACTGTGTTCTGGGGGTTTAATAAGCAGGCACGCTCCATAAATGTTAGTTATTGCTATTATGATGGTTGTAGTTTTAATTACATGACTTTGTGGATCTCTAAAAGCAACTGTAAAATTAATTCTGAAACATCCTTTATTATTTGAATAATAATGCACTAATTAACATGCCCTGAATGCTTCCTCCCAGCCATCAGTGTGCTGAGGGCTTTTATGTAATATTTCTAATGTAATCTTTACAGCAGCTCTAAAAGATTATTACCCACTTATATGTGAGTGAAATAAAGATGAGCAAGTTAAGACACTTGCTAAAGTTCCCACCTTTAATGATATCAGGACTGGGACTGTAGCCCAGGCCACTTTGCACTTAAGTCCGTGTCCCTCCTTGTGCCCTGCAGTGGTCTTCAGAATTACTGGCATTTGCTCTTGGGCCATATGCTCTCCCTGTGCAAGTCAAGTGTGTATTTTATAACTGCATCTAACTGAGCTTCTGGGTTGCAGCACTCGCCTGGTTCAAGCTCAGCTTCATTTAAGAAGTGAAGCAGAGGGCTGTAGGAATTCCTACCGCCAGTAGCCTTTAAGTTACCCACCCACTTGGGCATGACCTCTTATACTATATATACTGATGTAAGCGCAGGTCTGGCCTTTCTTCCAGCAGCATGATTCGGTTTGTGTTCCCCACTCCTGCAGAGGATTGTGATCTGTGAGCCTACCCCTAAATAAATAACCCTTTATTATACTCAATTCTGAGCTGGTGTGGGATTTCTTTTTAGCGTCCTTCTTTATGAGGGTACAGCAGCATGGAATCTCAGCGTGGGTGACCTCTGGCAGCTCCGTTCTATGTGGCGCCACTTCACTTTGCTACCTTAACTTGCAGGAATATTAATATCATACATTGAATGACCTTTTCAAGAGAAAGTCATTTCAGAGCCACTGCTAGCGGTAATGTCTGAACACTGAGGTGCCACAGGATTCATCACTACGGGTTGCCAAACACACATCAGGATTGTCGTCCATTTCCAAACTCCAGACTTGAAGTTATCCAGTCACTGATCTCTTGACATAGAAACCTTCCAGATGTGGTGGCTGTCACATTTGGGCAGCGTGCTTCCAAAATGATTTCTTTGTGTGTGTCTAAGGCCCTCGAATGACTTGCATTTTCTACCAGTATGTCTTTATTTAGGATACTCGGCGTGTTCAGAGGAAGACAGTGAAGTTTTCTTGATGGTGAG